TTTTTTTAAAGATATGAGGTACCAATTTCTCATGTACCACATCCCCTGGGAATCCATCAAGAAAGTTTCAGCTTGATACAACAGGCTTCTCTGTCGCATGCACCAGGGACTTACCTATAGAGTCCATAAAAATAGAAGTAGATGAAAGTGAAGCAATTTTTTTTCTCTAAACACACTGCAAAAACTTACCTGTTCAGTCTAGTAATTTCATTTCCAGAGTTGAGATGGTTTCACTAGTCAAAATGAGTTGGTAGGATTATCAGGTTCAGGTAGGCATTTATTACAAGTTGCAGCCTTCTCCTCTGTTTCTCTTTCCATAGGAAATTTGCTGTAGCATTAGCTCTACAAATAATAACACATGCTGCTAGCCAGTTGGGACTATCCCATCTTGTCTGAACCTTTAAAGTGAAAACTAAGAAGCTGATAAATGCATAATATATTGTAGTTGTGGGCACTTGGTTATTTGTTTATGCAGTTTTGCACACATGGGAATGATTACATTGTCCATACTGGTGATCACAGGAAGGGTAACCTTTCAGTAATGTTTTTGACCACAAAATATTTAGACAGTATTTTTAAATCTATGGCTTGATAATATGAACATTAAGACAATTACACATTGCAGAATAACCTCTTTGAAAGGAGTAGTCATGAAACTTGATAGACTTTTATATATTTCAGGCAGTATTCTTAGATGTAACAAAAATTTTTAGCTATTTTTAACCCACAAGAGAGGTGCAATGCTGTGTTGACTGTCTGAAAAAACTGACTGGCCTTGCAATTTTATAAGATAATAAAAAATCATCCTTTCCAGAATATATAGGTTGACCTCCTATTTGGATATTGCATATTTTTTATCATTTTTATTAATGAAATATAATTATAACAAAATCATCTATAGTGGTTCATAGCAGGAATGGAATATGAGGGTCTATTTTAAGCAAAATCTATCAGTCAAATAGGAATGAACTGCAACAAAGAATCCTAATTCTTCTAGAAAAACCAGATGTCTAAATAAAACCTATAAACTAATTCTACTTCCAGTTTCTTTGGCCAAGCTATTTCCTGCACTTTTAATTTAACCCCTGTGTTTCTTTATTATAGCACATCACTTGATGCTACATATAAACTCAGTGGCATTTAGAAATATATGGACATTAAATGAGATGTGCTTAGTACACAGCTCTGATGCCCTGAGCAGGTATATGAAGCCACTGCCAGCCAATTAGACCCCCAGGGATAAGTTTCCCCTCCCCTTTCTCTTCCTCCTTTTAAGTAAAAATAGGAGATGTATTGAGGGAGGATTTTTTTTCTTTTCTCTATGTAATCTTTCATGCCATTGCCAATTGATTTAATGACTAAAAGGTCATATATATAGTTGGACTTCATATCTTTTCCCTCTGCGCATTATTTCAGCAAATTATCCTTGGGATTAAAACAATTAGTGGTTTCCAAAATACTTCATTCCATAAAAATTGTGGATCTTGTTATTATGAATTTCATGAAAAACATTTTCCACCTTGTCTGTACTGTCACAAAAGCCTAAAAGGAAAGACAGGAAAACTTACTTTTGTGTGCAACTGATCATACACTGGACTGAGAAAGTCCCAAGTGCTGATAAGACAGTTGCTTCCTGACTCTATTTTCTTCTCCCAGGAGATGAGAAGTCAAACTCATGTCCCTTTGTGAACAGGGCAAGGTAGAGGATGTCAGCCAAGAGTGCTAGGTCTGACATTACGATTTTACTATGTCTCTAAGCACATTGGCATTCTCCTACTTTCTCATATTTGTGTTGACAACTCAGAGACAAGACAAACTCTGTTCCTTCCACCTCAGGCTGGGAAATTGGGACTTCCAGTCAAATCTTTGCAGTCTTAAAGATATATTTTGACAAGTAATATGGAATCTGTAGTTTAGCTATAGTGTTGCCTCACTGGATCCTTGAAACAGGTGTACTACCAAGATCTCCCAGACAGGATTTTCCAGAAATATTCAGATCTTTTGGGATCAGGAACAAAGTACATTTAAACTTTAAAACATTTTTATAGCCCAAACTAAAACATATTTGTATTCATTCATGTTATATTTATCCAAGTAATCTAAATCAACACTATTCACTGGTTAGATCAGAATTGGCCCCATGACCCTGCAATATGAAATTATCCAATTAGTCTTGAGCTATTTGATGTTGAATGACAGAAACAACATTGAACTGGATGTCAAGTACTCCATGCTCTAAAAAGAATTTTGCATCTACTAAGATAAAACTATAATCTTTATAATCTTCTTCATTCTCATAAAAAATATTAAAAGACTTATTTAGTGATTCTCAACCTTTTTGGTATCAGGACCCTTTACACTCACAATGATTACTGAAGAACCTAAATATCATTGGTTTAAGTAGGTTATATCTATCATTATTACTCTATTAGAAACTAAAATGGGGAACCTTTAAAAATATTTACTAACTTATTTTAAAATAATAAAGTCCACTACCAAT